GCTGGACCAGCATTCCACCTCTCTCTCCAAGCCCCTTTCCATCATCTCCACCTGGCAGCTAAGAGCTACCATCCTAGTGGGCAAAGCAGGCCACACTGCTCACCTGCCCCTCAGAGGACTCCCAAAGCCAGCAGCCTGGATCCTTTCCATCACTTACTCTATCCCTTTCCTTCCCTCCCCGTACCGCAACCCACGAAAGTGCCCTGCCTGATCCTCTCAAGAGGCAGTGCCTCGGGCCAGGGCCCTCCAGTCCACAGTCTTCCCACTTCTTCCAGGCCACACCACGCAGCCTTGGGGGCTCCCATGCAGCACTCCCTCCTTGAGGAAATCCTCCCTATGGCACTGATGAACCCTGTCATGAGACAGTGAGCTATGTGAGGGCCAGGACCATGCCAACCTGGATGGGCGCTCACTCGACACCTGATAATAAGTGGACAGATGCCTGGACAGAAACGCCTCCCCAGCTGGTCTGCCAGGGGCTAATGGGATCCAAGAGGAGACTCCCCACATCTGTTAGGCTACAGAGTTCCCATGATGCCCGCCAGGCACACTGGCCCCACCCACTGGGAGTTCACAGGAACAGGGCGGTCTGGTCCTGCTCATCTCTGGAAGCCCAGGACCAATGGTGAATACTGGGTCAAAGTGGAATGGAGGCTGCAGCTGTAGCTCAGTGGTAGAGCACTTGCCTAGCACACGTGAGACACTGGGTTCGATCCTCAGCACCACATTAAAAATAAATAAATAAAATAAAGGTCTTAAAAAATAAAGGTATTGTGTTCATCTACACCTAAAAAACATAAATAAAAATAACATATTTTTTAAAAAGTGGAATCAGCTACAGCTAGGGCTGTAGCTCAGTGGCACAGTGCTTGCCTAGCATGTGTGAGACTGGGTTCGATCTTCAGCACCACATAAAAAAATAAATAAATAAAATAAAGGCATGTTGTCCATCTACAACTATAAAACTTTTTTTTAAAAAAATGTAGAATGGAACCTGTCTGCTGGCCCCTCCTCCCTTCCCAGAGTCTGAGCCTCCACAGCCCAGGGCTCTGTCCCTGCTCCCCTCAGCCCCTCGGGACAGATCTGAGAATCCTTCTCCATCCTGCCTTCCCAGAGCTCCACACCAAGATATCCCTAAGAGCAGGCTCGAACAGTGGTAGCCTCAAGTGGCATTCTGCAGCTTTTTTCAAGGAGAGTGGGCAAGGCCAGTGGGCTCTGGCCAAGTGTATGGCACATGTGAGGAAAGACCAAGCCTGCCTGGCCTCCCCAGGGCTGGGCCTAAACACAGGACCTCCGTCTGCAGAGCTGACCTGTCCAAGGCCTTTCTCCAGGGCCTCCCATCCCAGTGGGCACAAAGCCATGCCCACAATAGGCAGGCAGGGCTTGTGTTTTGAGGGGTACTGAGGCACAGGGCACAGAAGTCAGGGCCAGGCCAGTCTCCTCACGTTTGCTCTTCCTATGAAGTGACCCTGACAAGTCACTGCTCTGCCCTAGGCCTCAGTTTCCCCACCCACTGGCTAAACAATGCACTCCCTTCCTCTGGCACTGCCAGCCATGTGCGTGGGGCAAGCTAAAGGACCCATGCCAGCTGGGAGCAGAACCCTCTCAGAATGTTTGAGATTCTTCCACCTCGGGACAGGTTGGCCACTTTCTGACTCAGACTTGGCTGGGACCTCTGCATCCCTCTGGGGCCCCACTCGCTGCACCCCAGAAAAGCCTCCCAGACATACTTGGATCCCTCCATCTGGGAGGTGTTCAGGCTGGAACCCATTATGCCCCTGTGCTAGCCTCTTCCTGCTCCCAAATCCAGTGACCCCAGTCCCACCCCTGCCTCAGGGTCCTGAGAACTCTTCATCTTGTGCTCCCCTGATCTAGTTCAGTTCCTCTACACTACCCAGATCTGGACTTTCCTGTACTACCTTATCTATTGAAAAAAAGCCTTCTTTAAAGGTCTGAATGTCACATGGGTCTCTAGCTGCTCCTCACCCACTGCCACCATAGCAGGACAGGGTTTTGGAGCCAGACCTGCTGAAATTCAAGTCCTATCTCAGCTCGTCTCTAGCTGAGTGACAGAGGCCTAGTCCCTTCAACTCCCTTGACCCCGGCACCCTCATCCATAGTGAGGACAGTGCCCTCAGCTCACAAGGTAGTTATGGGGATTCAACTGACTGTGCGTTTGAGGAGCTCCTTGACATGCAGCATACACACAGGCAGAAGGACTTTAACCATGATAAAAGAATTTCCCCAACTGCCATTTCCCACCTGGTGACTTCTATCTGATCTCAGTGCCCCTCCAGATGGCAAAGGATTAATGGGGATACCACTTGCAAAATACTCAGCACAGGGCCTGGCACACTGCACGGGGCTCCCAATGTGGTGGCTGTGAGGATTACTGTTCACAGGAGGTGTCGGAATGATAAGGCTGGGGAATGGCCCAGCCCCAGCGTACCACCTGCTCTACCTGTTCAAATTGGGTCAGGCAGCGCAGAGTTCCCAGCTGTTGCCATGGCACCCAACACAGAGGGAAACACTCTGGCTAGGAGGGCGGGTGCTGCAGGGTGGGGCCTCAGGCAGTTCACTGTGACAGAGCCCATGCTGCCAACACTGGCTCTGAGCCATCTCAAAGGTCCCTGGGGTTGGGGGGAATGCACTACTGGATCTGGGCCCAGGATCTAACCAGGTCCAATCACCCCAGTCCTTACCCCAACTTGTAAACAATGGGGCCCTGGTGGTTTGGAGGAGTGGCCTGTGAGGCAGGGCTTCTGGGCTAGAGACCAGGTTGGATGGGGTGTGGGTGGAAGGAGGAGGAACCCAGAAGCCCCCATCTCTTGGGAAAAAGCTCAGCCAAAGCCAAAGTGGTTCTAAACTGGGTTCTGGTTCCAATATCATTGCTCTCTCCAGTCACACCTGCCCAGCAGCAAACAGGAACCCAGCACCTTGTGGGCCTCAATGTCAGCTCCTCCCCACTCAGATTTCATCCAGGATGAGAGCTGGGAAAAGCTGTTTGGGCTCTGCTGGGTTCAGGGAATCTGAGGCCTCTTGCCAGAAGAGAAGGGAAAATAGAGGTGAAATCCAGACCATGTGGGCTAAGACCTGGAACTTTCCATACTTCCTGGATGAGGAGGCAGGCTTAGCACACAACGGAAAGGCTGACGGGTAGAGTGAGACTGGCTACAGGGCCTGGGAGGCCAGGCAAGACCTCAGGCTGGGACTCATTATGAGTTCCTCCCTGGGATTCAAGATACTGTCCCCATCCTGGCTCACAGTAGGCACTCTGCTGATTCCATGGGGATGTCCCCCTAAGACCTGGGCTGCTGTACCCCTCTGCTGCATCAATCTTCCAGACCAGACACAGTACATACATAATCTATCCCCCTTATAACCCATTTTACAAAAAAGGAAACTGAGGCTCTGGGGCACAACAGGGTAATGGTTAAAAGCAATCCTGAGTTTGAATCTACGTTCCATTTTATTAACTCAGGCAAATCATTCACTCTGTGCCTCAGTTTTCTCCTCAGTAAAATGGGGATGATAATCCTATGGGCCCAATGATAATCCTATGCCCTGGCCTCTACCTCTGCTCCATGACAAGGTGTTGACAGGTGCTAGCAAAACAAGGAGCTCAGCAACAATTGCTGGCTCTTGTGATCTGAAAGGCTGGGTAACTCACCCAAGGTCACCCAGCCAATAAGTAGCCAACTCCAGGCCCTAGCTCTGAGCACAGCCCTCTGAAACCACGAGGCACTGTGTGGGGTGGCTGCGGGATCACAGGCTTCCCAGGCAACCAAGGATTGCTGCCACCCCCACCACAAGGGACAGCCCTTGTTCAAATTCCTCAGATAAGTAGCTCCCAGAACAGGGAGCTAGTGCACAGAAGAGGTATCCCACTCTGTGTGGACCAGAGATTCCAAAATCTGGTTAGGTCTGCAGCTCCCCTCTTCTTCCCCACCTCCCACTTGGAGAGCACTCCACCTCCAGATTCATCCAACAGGTCTCCAAACAGTTGACACTGCTTCCTGCAAGTTCCCTGGAAAGCCACTTACTTCCTCCTTCTAGGCCTCAGTTTCTCCATTTGTAACACTCATCTCCATCTCTGAATAGTGAGGCAGCTACAGCTAACAGGCCCACAAGGCCTGAAGARCAAAGGGCAGACAGGGTGGGGGGAGCAAGTGTCCCAGGCCATGGGCCAGGCCCTGCATCCCATTCTATCTACTCTGGATGAGACCTGTATCAGGCCCAATTTCCTAGACGAAAAGGGAGCCCAGAAACTGCCAGGATTCGAATCCCCATCTTTAGAACTCTAAGGATCTCTCTGGACAGGCCAGAACTGTGAGACCCCAGGTGGTCCCAGTCAGCAAGTAACATCCTGGAGTTCCGTGACATTCAGCAATAAACTGGGCAGCTAGACCTGACAGGCTGGGGATCAAACCATTCTCTTGGTTTGCCCCTTCTTTCACACTGGGCAGCAGCCTCCTGACAAGAGCCTTTGCAATGCAAAGTAGCCCAGCTCAAGCCAGAGGAGGACAGTCACTCAGAGGAGGCTGGACTGGCCAAAATCCAGCCACCACCCTCCAGCCAGACTGGGGGGTGCCTGCAACCCGGCCTTCCCAGCCACAGTGGAAAGCCAGAGAACCTGTGGCTGGCTGGGTCTCTAAATCATATAACAGCCCCACTAGCCAGTTGGACTGCAAGGTAGCCTGGAACACCCCTTCCCTACCCACTCCTTCAAGGCCCAAATCCTACTGGGCTCTATATGCAAGTCTGCAGAATGGGCCTACAGGGCTGCATGCAGGGCCTGAAAAAACAGAACCCCAGGTATCTGGCTGGTCACCTGCAGACTGGTGACTGTCACTCTACCAACTTACTTAGGCCAGGTTCTGCCTTGTGCAAACCTGCCCCAAACACCTAATGCCCCAGGGGGGCTTCCACACTTGCCAAATGACTAGATCCCTGCCAGCACCACTCCCATCCCCTGCAGGCACGAACGCTCTAGCTCCTACCTTGACGACAAGCTGACAAAATCCCCGCCATCCAGCAGCCGGACCTTGCAGAAGAGGACTCCGTTCACGAACGGGACGGCCGTCAGCTCCTCCAGGGTGAAAGTGGTTTGGAATTTGAATTTCTTCTTCTTCATCAAGAAAGCCATGGGCGAGTTCCCTGAGTCTAAGGCCCCGAAGGCCAAATAAAAGGGAAGGGGTAGAAATCCCCAGGATTCCTTTCCTTACAACACACCCCCTCCTCCAAAACCCCAGAGCCGGATACCGCCCAGATGGTGGCGGAGGCGGCCGAGCGATCAAGGATCTGAGTCCGGAGCCCCAGGTCGGAGTACCAGTCCAGTTCGCGGGCGCCGGCTTCACCCTCGGGCAACCGGGTTTCGGAGGGGCCCGGGGCGGCCGGGGGCTTCACCAGCATGTAAACAGCAGGGCATGGCCCAGGAGGCAGGCGCTAGTGTGGCGGGCGGCGCGCGAGCGGCGGCGCGGACCTGCAGCATCCCGAGCCGCGGGCCTCGGGGAGCTGACGCCGCGGGCCGGGCGGGCCGGTGAGACTAGGGGTGGCGGGCGGCCCCGGCCCCGCCCCCGCCCCGCTGGCGACGGGGGAGGTGCCCTCGCTGCGCACACGCCCCCGCACCTGGTGCCAGGCGGCCCGCGCAGGTGAGGCCAGGGGTGGTGGCGGAGGGCACCCACAGCACTGCCGGGACTCTGGCGGCCTCTCCGGGAGGCGGGCGGGGACGCTGCGGTAGGGAACGTCCGCCCGCGGGCCTCCTCCGGGCAAGCACCGGGCAGCCAGGGGCGCCGCCTCCTCCTAGGTCCTGGGACCCGCGCCGCGGGCCCCGGCGAAACCGAGGCGCCCTCCGGCCCGGCCGGTGGTTTCGCCTCGCCCGCCGCCTCTGCTCGGCACCTGGCGAGCAGCAGTGCCGTCGCCTGCGCCCCCGACGAGGCCGCCTGAGCCCGACGCTGCACCCAGCCGCGCCGAGCCGCTCCGAGACTACCGAGGCCCTGCTCGGCCGCCCGCCGAGTGGCCGCCGCGCGCGGCAGGCGGGGCGTCGGCGGCCCAGCCCGCCCGTGATTGGCGGCCCGGCGGGGCGAGCGCGGAACACCATTGGTGCACGGTGGTGTGGGGCGGGACTCGTGGGAGGCTGAGCCGCCCCTATTGGTGCGCCTTGCTGCCGGGCCCGCCTCCTCGGGCAGGGCGGAGCGGAGGGGCCGTCAGAGGGGCCCAGGCCAGGCAGTGGGAGGTCGCGGGGCGGGGAGCAGCGGCTAGCAGGGCAGAGAGGAGAGCGGGAGCAGAAGAAAAGAAGAAACAATGACGAGGAGAAACAGTCTGAAAACTGTGAATGGCACGGCCTTCCAAGGTCCTGCCAGATTTTAGTTCATTGAGCACTAAAGTAGGCTCTGAGGAGAGCGAGTCCCATTTCTCAGAAAACTGACACGCAGAGAGGTGGCCCTAGAAGCTGGTTTCTTACGAAGTGTCTGCAAAGGCTTCGCCTGCCGTGAAGGTGACTTGAAGCAGTTCATCAAGCAGCCTTGTGACCCAGCTTATCTCATTCCTTGATGTTATCTAAGTCTTTTGTTGTCCTATAGTTTCTTAAATAGTGTCACTGGCTAGATTAACTGTTCTGGGGATGGAGCAACTTCAGGAACTTCGGTTTCCCAAGGCTCTCTGTATTTTGTAACTCATTCTTCCAGTTCCCAAATGTTTAGGGGCAATACTCTGAGCAGGGACCCAATGGGGAGCCTGGTGGTCTCGCCCTCACTGACCCCTCCAAGCTTAAGACCTGTGGAAAAGCAGACCTGGATATAAGCAGTAACAAATGTGGTGAATAAGAACTGTAGTAGGAGACATAGAGGGAGCTGGAGATCTCAAAGGAGGCACCTGGCATGCGGGGATGGAAGGAGACTCAGAGAGAAGGGTTCCTGCAGAAAGCAACCGAAGCCATCCTCAGGATGCATGCATTGGGTGGGACAGGATGCAGGCAGAAATCCACCACAGGCCTGGCATACTGCATGGTGCTCACAGGAAGTTACCAGTACCTCTTTGGCTGCATTGTGGTGATTTGAGGGGCAAGCGATGAGGCTAAAAAAGGCCTGTAGCAGCCTGATCTGCCAGTCTAGTAGACCAGTGTAAGAAGGAAACCACCAACATGTTTTGACCTGTAGGACTTGCTTTTTCTGGTAAGAAGCTTGCTCTGGCTTCAGGTGATTGGAAGGGAGAAGATGGAAAACAGGTGGGTGAGGGGTCTGTTGTGATCAGAGCAAGAAGGGCTGGCTGCAGGACTTCAGCATGGAGAAATGAGAGGAGGATTCTGAGACATGGGCAGATTGGGCAGGACTGGAGCATGTGTTATGTCTAGACGTGTGAATGAGGACTCCCATCTCTGGTTTCTTCCTGCTTCCCAGTGACACTGGTGGGTCATCCATGCTTCTCTCATTGGTCCCATAATTTAGACATAACAGCCAGATTGGAGAAAAATTATAATAGTAGATCCCCGTGCTTCTTTGTATCCTTTTTTACAGGCAGGGAAGTAGAGTCATAGAGGATTTAAATCCCTTGACCTGAGTGCTGAGTGCTACACTGTGCTGTCCACAAGCACAGGGGGTGTGTTCTCATTAATCCTGCTTGGGCCTGGCTACCTGAACCCAGGAGGTAATTTCAGAGGGAGCCAGTCAAGGATATCCCAAGGCCTGGGTGACTCCTCAGCTGTGACCGAGAATAACCTCAGCCTCAGTCCTCTCGGACAGGAAGTAGGGTGGGCCTTGCTGCCAGGCTTAGCTCCATTTATCTCTCTGCAGCCTGAAGGCTGGGAACCCAGGAAGTTTCCCTTCCCTCATTTCCCCAATGGTGTCTGGGCAAAGCAGAGATCATGGTACCAACACAGGATGCTAAATTTCTGGTGAAACAAGCCCAAATTAGAATCCTGGCTCTGGTGTATATTGGCAGTGTAGGCTCAGTTTGGAACACTGAGGCTCTGGTGCTGCCAATGGGGAGGGATTTCAGTATGACATGGCTAAGATCACTTGTCCTGAAACCAGCAGAACTGAGTTTGAAATCCAGTTGGCATGCTATTGACCACTTATGTTACACAAACTTTGGGTATGATTTTATAGGCATAGAAGGGAATCTTCCATTTCTGATCCACGGTTTTTTCACCTGCAAAATGTGAATAAAAATATCAACCTTTCTAGAATGTTGCAAGGACACCTTGAGGGTGTGTCTACAAAAGGCTCAGTCCTGGAAGGACAAGGGCATCTGAGCATGGTCGGTGGGGAGCTCCAGCCCAGCACTCCCACAATTCTTCAGTCCCCCAAATTCCCAGGTATGGCCTATCCTTCTTCCCTGAGGTCCTGATCAGACACATAAGCCACCCAACATCAAGCAAGACCTGAGGCAAGTTGTCTGGAGAAGGAAGTCCAGGAAATGTGAAAGAATGCCTAGGTCTGGGGTCCTGATTCAGAAGGCACGCTCAAGGAAGGCCTCCTGGAGGTGTCCTCTCAGCCCAGTAAATAATAAGGGCCACCACACACAAAAAGCTCTGGGGGAAAAGGCATGAGTTGGGGTGTTTAGGAGACTGTGAGAAATGGCGTGAGTAGAGGGGGCAGAGAGGGTTGCAGGCAGGCAGGGCCCTGGTCACATGGGCCCTTGAGGGCCTAAGAGGAGTTTAGATTTTATTTTATTTTAAGTCCAAAGGAACACATCAGAAGATGTTGGCAGGGAAGTGGCAAGATCCAACATATAAGCCCAGTGGGTCTGGAGGCTGAGGCAGGAGGACCACAAGTTCAAAGCCAGCCTCAGCAACTTAGCAAGGCCCTAAGCAACTTAGCAAGACACTATCTCAAAAACAAAACAACAACAAAAAAGGCTCAGTGCTTAAGTGCCCCTGGGTTCAATCCCCAGTCCAAAAAAAAAAAAAAAAATCCAAAATATGCTGTTATGGGCTGGGGATGTGGCTCAAGCGGTAGCGCGCTCGCCTGGCGTGCGTGCGGCCCGGGTTCGATCCTCAGCACCACATACCAACAAAGATGTTGTGTCCGCCGAGAACTAAAAAATAAATATTAAAAATTCTCTCTCTCTCTCTCTCTCCCCTCTCTCACTCTCTCTCTTTAGAAAAAAAAAAAAATATGCTGTTAGAAGTTCCTCTAGCTGAGCTGCTGTGTGGAACATGCCTTGGTTGCCAGGGGGCAGACACAGAAGCAAGCAGACTGGTGAGGAGGATGTTTCAAACAGTCCTTCTAGAGACAGTGGTGGGGGCTGGGGATTTGGCGCTCGCCTGGCATGCGTGCGGCCCAGGTTCGATCTTCAGCACCACATACAAACAAAGATGTGTGTCCGCCGAAAACTACAAAATAAATAAATATTAAAAAAAAAAAAAAAGAGACAGTGGTGGCTCAGACCATGGCAGGGAAAGAGAAAGGGGGTACATTTCACAGGAAGCACTGAGAGAAGGTGCTGAGCCAGGAGAAAAGATAGTCATGATTGAGACAGCAGCAACCAGCAAAGGCTTAGAGCAGCAAAGGCTTAGAGCCTCTTGAATATCCCCAGTTTTGAATTTGATCAGGTGCCGCAGTGTTCTTGAAGTTGAGAGGTAAGTGAACTTAAGCACTGGATTAGGTGTGGGAAAGAAAAGAGGAAGGAAGGAATTTACTGTGACCACAGCCTGCAGAACAGCTGGGAAAAGTGGGAGTGCCTCAGAGAATCCTTACCCTTACTCGGCACCAGACAAACCCTATGAGGCCATTCACTTAGCTCTTTCTCCCACTCCAACAGGAGCGGCACAAGGCCAGACACCTTGCCATGGAGTCCCCTGGTCCAGTTCAAGGCCTGTCATATATGCTTCTTTTACTGGAGGCCAAAGGAACACATGTGTGCCTAGATGGACAAGTGTATACATGGTAGATGCATGTATGTACATATGTATTAATTTACATATGGTTAAACGTCCCTGGGTTCCATCCCCAGCACTGCAAAAGTAAAAATAAAAATTCAACATATGTAGTCCCAGCTATGTGGGAGGCTGAGGCAGGATAATCTCTTGAGATAGGAATTTGAGGCCAGCCAAAGCAACACAATAAAACCCTGTCTCAAAAACAATTTTGATGTTAAAAGAAAAAAAAAAGATATATTTTTAAGTTTTGATATGCACAATTCCTTTTAACATAAATTACCCAAGTGTAATACTTTCACATGCATGCAAAGATACATGTCTATACATGCGCCGTTGTACACTCTAGGAAACTGTTGGGAACAGGTAATGTCTAGTGGTAGCAAAGGGAGGTCTTGAGGGCAAGGACTGCTTTGTTCCCTGCTCCATCCTGGGCAACCAGAACAGCACCTGGTGCACAAGAGCGCTCATAAAGTGTCCTGTGACAGGCAGTGTCATCAAGAGGAGTCTGTGTAGCTGTCAGTAGGGGGCTGAAGAGGTATGGGCTGAGGCGGGAGGTGGCCACC